GGAACTGATTTTGTTCGAGGGAACTTGAGGTCTATGTCGATGTGGCAGGGTCAGAAGTAAAGATAGCCATATCCTAAGCGATATATGATTAGAATTTGAGGTCTCCGAGTATCAAAAGCTATGAGCGAAGGTACTTACAAAGTAGCGATAACTCCGAGCACAATCATGATACCAATGATGCGAAACCATCGCCTCCTCAAACTACCTTTATCATGATCTTGTTGTCTTTTTTCTTTTCCATTACCCCGGAGGAGGCCTTTCCAACTACCATTGCGGTGGCTAAAACTATCGTCGGATGAATATGAAGAGCGCTCTTCATGTTCTTTTAGCTCTGAACTTATTAGCTGTCGTGATTTCTCTCATCTTCACTGCTATACACACCGAATGGGGGATTTGCCATATCGCTAGCTCAAATATCAAATGTTCTCAGCGTTTCTAATGTAAAAAACAACCAAAATTTCTCCAATAAAGAGTTATGTGAAGAATATACTTTGAAGTTCATGAAATCTATTGATGCAAAGAAGGAGAAATCTCAATATCATCAATTGTGACAGGTTTCTAGCGAAAGAAGAGATATGTCTTGAAAGCACCTCATGTTCTTTCCCAAGGTAGCAAAAATAGAACCATAGTTTCTGACAATCTTTATCATTATGACTCTTGACAATAGTATCACCTTGAAACATGACCTACGTAATTCACCAAATTCCTACAGGATCAATCCTCTCATTCTCATCATCGGCTGTGAAGACTTGGCAAACATAAGCCAGAATGTCGGGATTGTTGGAGGACGTTAAAATATGCTTATGGGGTACAAAATCAAGAAACAGCCTGAAGAGCTTTGTTTGAAACAACAAGTAAGCTTATAAGGACTGTATATGTTGTGTAACATAATTGTCTGACCACCCTCATTGCATTAAGTTAGTTATGGATCTTGACTTGGGGTTATTTTTCAATCAACTGGGGTAGCGGTGTGCCTTATGGCGTAAATCCTACCCATTCAATTATGCAAGACTCTGGCTCAGCCTTGAATCCCTCTACGTAAGTTGTGCGACCATGACTTCGCTTGACTTTGCCGTGATTACTTGCTTACTGGCTGACAGGAATTTCGGGTAGCACTCGCTTAAACAACCGAACCACGAGGCTGAAACAAGGACTTATGTAAAAGCACCGAGTGACAATCGATTGATGATTCAAATGTATACGGGTCGATGGATTTGGAAATGAGCGGTGCTTCAGATACAAAAAATTTCAATCAGGATTTACCATCTTGCGATAAAAAAAACCAAAGTTTTGATATATGTAATCGAATATTCTTGCAGTTGCAAATGTGTTTGAATAGAATTTAGATCGCAATAACTATTTCAACATTAAAGTATGCATGAAGAGAGTATTATCTCACGGACTTAGTTGCTTCTGTCTCGATACTCTCGCAAATAGCAACGACAAAAGAACGAAAGCAATATGGTTAAAGGTACTTGAAAATGCCAGACCAAAACTTGTGTGTAAATTGTTGAAGAAATTGAATTGAAGTCAGAATAAACGATACATAAACGAGCAACCATAAAAATAAAGCGAGATCTATGTTGAAGCCACACAACCCGTTCAAAACCACCCCAAAAAATCTTACATGTCGTAACACACCGTCCTTTCCCTCACTCTACCCCGCACACCTACAGTAGATGAAACTAGACAAATTTTGTCGAATACAAGCTCTCATAGATTATCCATAAGCCTTTAAGCCTTCCACTCGATAGCAACTGCTCTCTCAACCAAGTTCCCTTCGGCCAAGTTCTCTTCAGTCAAGTCTTCTTCAGTCAAGTCTTCTTCAGTCAAGTCCGCTTCAGTCAAGTCGCTTTCAGTCAAGTCGCCTTCAGTCAAGTCATCTTCAATCTCGTCTCTCTTGCTAGCAGGTGCACCAGTTCCAGTACAATAATCGTCATTCTTATCACCACCAACGCAACCCGCGGCGCAGAATTCGAGGAGCTTAATATCTCCGTGTTCGATGCAGGCCCAAAGGGATTGCTTTACATACAAGTCCGAGGTCGGAAGGTTGTTTGCAAGTAGATTAGTGTTGATCTTGGTGATGTAGTCGCCTGTTTGGAAAAGTTTTAGTGTGAATAGTTTGATTTCTAGGACTATAGATAATTCTTGTAGTGACAGGTGGTGATAGAAATTGTCACTAACCTCTTTTGAGAAGGTAGGTACCACAGTAGATACCACCGGTGTTGCAGCTCTTAGCAGCGACAATACTAGAGAGCGCGGAGGCAAGGACGATGGTGATAGTAGATAATTGAACCATTTTGAAAATTTAGGATATAAAGATATTGTTTGAAATGAAACTTGATTTTTGATTTGTGCTTTGAGTTGGGTTTGTAAGAGATGTTTTTATCGTTGGTAATGAGGATAGAATTTGATCATCAGTGAAAGACATTCCCTTATATATCTATGCAGTGCAGTTGCCAAGCATAGATGTAGGTCAAGAAGATGATTTTCAGCTTCAATGTCCATAGACATAACAAAATTGGCTCAAATCCTATGAAGGGCTCAGCAATGACAGGAGCATCAAATGAAACTTGCAACCATCAGTTCATCTTGGCAGTGATAGAAGTAATATTACATCAACATGATTGTAGCCCCAGGAATAAGATGATCTTGCCGTCTCGGAGGATTTGCTGAAGGCCATAAGGGTGGAAATAGTAACATTTACAACCACGCAGGTAAGTTGTACCTCATTTATCTGAGATCTTCACAGTAATTGGGTGACGAGGTACTATTCAGCTATAGCAGATACAGTGAGTTGTTTCCAGCAGGCTTGAATAAAGATAGTTCAATACATACACATAAACCATTTGAATCATTCTCGCCTACCGCTGAGTAAACTATGATCTAGCCCCCTTTCCATGTATTCGTTCATTTTACAGATCTCTTGAATTTAGTGTTTCGAGATATCCCTTCAATAAACTTTCAATGGAAGTTTTTATCAACGCGAATAACAATGAGGGAGGCAGATTTCCCAAGTCACCTGGGGTCAAGTGAGCTTCCCTCTTACTAACTCTAATAGCATGAATACTTGTGGTATTACTAGCGTATCTTTATTTGAAAAAAGTGTTTATCGCGTTTCTCTTCAACTACTTTAGTGACTAGTGTTGAAGGAAAGTTCAAATTAGTCAAGTGAATGGAGGATTCGCGTATCTTACATTTAATGCATTGTGGCACTGCTATTTTTATTCAATTCTCTTCCACATGATGAATCCCTCACGAGTGAATAGTGCCTCTTCGATTTTGACATGTAAACTTCAGGAATACGATGATTATATTATTTTGAAACGAGAGTAGATATCCAGGAGTGTTATCTTATGGCATCCTAGGCAGAGGCGTTCGATATGTCATTTTCAATGAGGTTTTTCAAAAGATATGCCGTGCCGTTTCAATAAGCACGACTCGTTTGTTCTCCAGGATATCCGGGAGGTCTTGGCGTAAGCCATCCAAGGGGCACTGCACGTCTTATCGTGGGAAAATTCGTCACAGTCAGCCGCCATGTTACACAGTACGGCGTAAATGCCTATTTGTATCTACTCGGTAAGCTTACATAGCGTCATGATCTACAGCCTCCACAATCTCATGAACTGTCGAGGGTAGCATTTTCCTGTGCCTCATGTCTTAAATCCATCGGATTTTGTAAAGATGAAACTCAGAAGTAGCTTGCAGAGTTCTAACGATACTGAGAACTACAAGGCGCTTGTGGAAAAATAATCAATTACGAAGTTCAAGCTATACATCATGATGGATTATCTACATAGAAATTTGGTTCCGAATTCACTCAATGTTAGTCTAATCTACAGTTTCAATAATTGGAGATACCTTCCCACGAGCGTTGTCCCTTTGCACAGCCGAACCCCCGCAATCCTGATATCTCTCAAGTATTGTGTAATTTTAGTTCTTGATATTCTCGCTAAACTTCGTAGGTAATAATTCGAGGTAATCATGGAACGCACGCATTTTGAATTAATGTCTGATTTAAGCCAGTAACTAGTGATTCGCAACTACAAATCTTTCAAAAGCTCACTACTATACCAATTAAGATGAATACAACACTCTAAAGAAGACACGATTAAAAGTTTCAACCTTCATAAAGAATGTAGAATTTATTAGAAACATTATAAGAGTTCTAGAACCTCCTCATCATATAGATTTCGATTTTCCTATTATAACTATTTATTTTTTTAGCTTTTAAGACCTCTATTTCTTTACTGAAGCTTTATACAAAATAATAAAAAGAATTCCAAATCGATTTGAAATTATTCTAATTATATATAAAAAAAGCTAGTTTATTTTTAAATATTTTATTTATAAAGTTATAAACTATTGAAAATAAAAATTATAAGTTTTTTAAAAAATTATTTATTTTATATAAGAAATATATTATAAGTTAGTAATTTTCAATTTTTTTCAATTTTCAATTTATATAATTTATAAACAAAAATAATTAAAAATAATTTTTTTTTTAAATAAAGAATAATATTAATTATTTATTTTAAAGTTTTGAAAATGAAATTTTTTCAAAATTGAAAAAGTTATCAACTTTGTTAATTTTCATAGAAAAACATTATTTTTACAGGGGATTTTATTATAAATTTTATAAGATATAATAAGAAGGTTTTAGAACTCTTATAACTAAAACAGTATATTCCTAATATGTACATTGATTTTATAAGATGTAAGACTACGCTCCTACAGGGCTTGAATATATCAACGTCTTTTTAAGTCATGTTGTAAATACTTCTATAATTTGTTCGGTTCTTAATATGATCTATTCAACACTTTCTTTTGGTGGTTTTCTCTCAGCGCTTTTTTCGCACGTGATCTTCTCTTTTTCTATAATTTTGTGAGCACCATCAAAGGCAAATAAAGAAAAATATAGGTATAGAAAAAGTATAAATGCGTGGCTTGAATCCGTTTTAATTTATCTCAGGAAACATCTAAACATCAGACTCGAAAATATGAGCTCCGACCAACTTCAACCATCCATCGAAGCCGCCTCCACAGGCAAACTCGATACATTGAAAGAATTGCTTGCTAATGAAAACAAATTCGCCGAGGAGAACGTTCACACTCGTTTGGCCGCAGCAGCATGGAAGTTTCAAACAACAATCGATGATTTCCTCCTTTCGAAATTTCCGTCTATCTATCTCCAAGACGAAGTTATCTGAGCAGCCGTCTACGCACCATCCAGACCTCTTTTCAGTTCTTCTTTCCTACGACCCAGCATGCATCAATCACCAATTCGACAAACGTGGTACGCGCATCGCATTAGCGTGTATGACTAAACAGCCGCTTGATTTTTGGGAGTTTTTGTTGATCGCAGGCGCAGATCCAGCTCAGAACCCAGATTGCGCCCTTCCTCCGATGATAAGCGTAGCAGGATTCTATAGCGACACTAGAGTTCCAGAGCTTTTGTTGATGAATGGCGCACACGTGGAGGACATTGATCAAGCGATAGAGGCAGCGCTGAAGTGGGGAAACGGGCCCATTGTGCACTTTTTCATAGAACGCGCAGAGGAATATAATGCGAGAAACTAGAAGAAAAAAAGATGACTAAGAGTTCGCTCGTTTTCTTTTTCGCTTCAGAATCGAAGAACGCATAAATCCAATCTAAATAACATTAAATTATATAATAAATATATCAAGGCCCAGAATATGAATGAATTGAACAAACAAACTGATCAATAATAAATCTCCCCAACTTTTAGAAAAAATGACCTCCCGAATCTGAGAAAAAAAGTGATTCCACGTGATTTATGAGAATTCGCGGAAACAGGGGGTGGATCTGCACAAGGTAAGATCTTATTTTGCCAATAGACACCCTTTATCGAATCATACCGGAACTCAACTGTATTAATATAGCACTCAATAAGAACTCATGACATGATCTGACTAAAAATTAACCAATAAGTGCCTTTAAGTCAAGTATTCCCTACATTCTATTGGTCATATCGCGGTTAATATTCTTCATCACGACGTTCTCTGAACACTGTATAGAACTAGATGCAGATTATTATGAGAAATCGTATCTTCCTTTCAATGAATTTCAGTTGCATTGTCCCTATTCCACATTGTCCCGAGATGCATAACCATGGATATAAAGATAGGAATCAGTTTGTGATCGATGACTTTCCTCTTCTCATCTATTCAACATCTGTTCACCATAGCACGCAACTCGTTGCGTACGCAGCCGCTATCACAAATCTGACTATTGCCGCAATCGAAGATGCAAGTAATATTGGCGTCACAACTGCCAATATTACAGGCACTGTTCCTCAACCAACCGAATGGTTTATTGGCGCATTTTGTGGTGAGATTCCTTCAGTTTATGGAAAGACTTACGAAGAACTCAAATCACATATCGACACGATCGAAGAGGAAAGTTTCTTGGCTGGAGAAATATGGGCTACGACTCTAGTACTATGTTCAGGATAGCCTATCACTGCATCTTGGAGATTTGCTGGTGAATAAAAATGCCACACCCAATCAGTCTTGACTAATCATCATAGGTCCCTTTGGTGGTGATACAAAGAATCCGATTTTGTTCATCAGCAATACCCTCGATCCAGCCACCCCTATTGCGAAGGAAGTTCACTCCTATTCTCTGACATTGTTGCAAAAGTAATTAACCAGTATCTTTGTACAGTATTCAAAAGTGGGCACCAAGGTTCAAAGATGCTCAAATCCTCACAATAGAAGCTATCGGTGTAAGTCTTCCCCCCTCTTCTCTCTGCTATATTCCTCTAATTAGTATAGCATACTTCGATGGCGGCCAACAATTCTTGTGCAAATGAGAAGATATATCATTCTTTTCAAACTGGTAATCTTCCAGGCCATGGTGCAAGATGTGTTGTAGAAGCTGGGCCTTTTGGGATTACTCCTGAGAGTTTGGTGGTTATTATGGAAGATGATTGTTCGAATCAAAGTTGCAAGATTACAGTTAGAAGCCTTCCAGGTCTTTTAATGGTTGATTCTAGTCTCCATTTCAAGTTTTCAAAAATGGGGAAAGGAGGAAAAGCAATGATTTCCTTATTTTTTCACCATTGTGTACTCTGACAAATTATGGTAATCAAAACACCCTTTTTATTTATTACGTTCACATTTCATGTCACTCCACCTTTTTTTTCTAATCTCTGTAAGTTTTCCAATACACTATTTACCTTATCGTTTTAATTTTGTATTTCTGATATGTAATGTTCTAATACTATGGTTTTCCCGCTCTTAAAGGCAGGATTTCATTGTTATGTATTTAGTATGACTGGAGGACAACTAACAAACTTCACATTCAGTACTTCAAAGAAAATATCAAGTCTCCCAAAATCTTTGATTCTAAACAAAGTCCGTATATATCCAAACATGATATGCTCTACTATATTTCTGGCATTCTGACCCTAGGTCTGCGGTATATCATAATGCCAAGTGCTGCACTAGCAGCTTACCACCTGATCAGTAGCAATATATTTCGTCTCATTTCAGGATTTATCCTGCTTGTTGCTCATAATTCTAGCCTATTGTCACTTGTAACTGCTAAGTATATGAACTATACTCTTTTCATTAAGAAGATATCATCTCCAAAACCCAGCATCACAACGTGTAATCCACAAATCTACAATCCCAAATATCCTATCACCCACTCACCCACAATCACATCCAATGCTCTCCCAGACAACTCTCTATCTTCGCCTCAGATTCCTCAGAAATCCCACTGATACCCACACCCACTCGTGCTAGCATACCCCCGAGCCCTCATCTCCGCATCTGCAATCTCTCTATCCCGCTCAGAACAATTACTAAAGAACTCCTTATGCTGTACACAAACACAATCCCTGTAATCGAAAATCTTCGGCGTATAAGACAATGTCGTCCTACAATACCCAGTAAGATGATCCCGATTAAAAGATCTCTCCAATCTCTCTCTATCCCTATCCACCCCGCTAGCGCTCTCGCCTCCATCATCATTCTCAACCCCACCCTCCCCACCCCATCCCACCCCCTCTCCACTCAACCCCCCATACCCTCCAAACCCACCCAAAACAATTTTCTCAATCCCATCCCAGAACCCAAATATCCCCATCAAGAAAAACGGCGCAACATGTGCTCCCCCCAAAACACGCACATCCGCACCCGCATGTCCCTTCGCCAACTCTCTATTCATATATCCCCACCACCTGGCCCCTCTTTCCCACTTCTCGCTTGCAATTTCCTCTTCTGTCTTCGCAATCATCGGCAAGATGGGTTTGTGAAAAGCTTCCATCTCATAGAGTCCTGTTACCGCGCTCTTGACTTCCATTTCGTAATCTTCGCAGCGAAATTTATCAACGCCTTGACCTATGGCTTTAAATTCCGTGTCCCAGGATTCCCAGCTCTGTGCGGAAAACATGTCGGAGTGTTCTTGTTGGAGAGCGAGAATGAAGAGGTGGTATTGAGTAATGAGTTTTATGTCGGCGTAGGGTTTGTCGAGACAGAATGCGTGGGTGCAGTCTGAGGGGTCGTAGACGCCGATTCTGCAGGCGTTTTCGGGGAGGGAGAGAAAATTGCGGACTTGGAGGAGGGCGATTTGGATGTGTTGTTGGATGGAGAGGGGATCTTTGGAGGAGGCTAAGAGAGCGAGAATGAGATGTGTGTGAGCGATGACTGATTGGTGGTTAGTGGGTTGAAAAGTGGGGAAAGGGGCAGTGGAAGAATATTCGGTGGGATGGAGGAATGAATTAATTCCTTCATTAACACAGATAAAACATCCAACTCACGAAGAAATCCATGTTCCTTGATCTGAAAAAGCAAATCACCACATTTCTGATAGCAAATCGCCGCTTGTTGCGTGTCATATGAGAGCTTATATGCGGCGTTAATCTAACATATCGGTTAGTATTACCATCACAAACTCATTCCACTTGCTAAGCTCAGACCGGCAAACAATAGCTAGATCGAAAGTCGAGGTGAAAGAATAGACATGACTAGGTATCCCATGGAAACTTACTTCTTCAACCAGACCGATATAATCGATCACTGGCCATTGGGTCTGCATCTTGAGTATTGGGAGTAAATGGATGCGCTTTGATTGCATGCTAGACGGCGCTTGTCTTTAGATAAACAAAAGGATTACTGTCAGGGCGTTGTATATCAATAAGGATGGAAAATAAATGATCTATCTCTCAAAAACAGTAGATGAATGAGTAGGAGATTTCCTATAAATTTATAGCATTGATAGCCTTATATATACGGAAGCCTTATCGAAGACTTAAGTGAATCAGCCGTATGCATTATTGAAGAGGGGTGGCTAATCAATATGTATATCGTAAAAGTGAATATCAAAAACCCGGAAGTGATACCCGAAGATTGAGAAACATCAGACGAGAACCCCTATGTAAGTGGAAATAATAATTCAGTCATACCTATGCTTGACGAACAACATCGTACATCGTCTCTTCTTAAATGCTAACTTCAGTAGCTCTAGTATCAACAAGGTTCAGATTCTACCCTTCCTAATAAACCCTCTCATGAAAGTTCAGTGTCTTATTATCAACTTCCTCTCTCCCTATCTTCGCTTAGTTCTGTAATACAAATTCCACCCTTTTACAAGTCTCTTCCGCTATTCAAAGACAGATATTCATTTCACTTTTATTCCCAGCTTTCATCCAGTATGGAAAGCAATCACGGTCGAATTATGGTAGAACAATGAGAAGATAGAAAGTAGAAAGTCAATTAGGTGTCAAGTAATTTGTCCTTTCTGGAGCTTCAAGGATCCCTACCCTAAGGAAACTAGAAGAGGAAAGGAAGTAGAAATGAGAGGAGGATAGTGAGACAGGAAGAAATCATAGCGATTACAATCTAGTACTAAATAGTGTCATGAGATTTATTTTGTTTTTCATTTCTGTAGTAAATTCTTATATCTAAAACAAATTGTACCAAGGCTATGTTCATACGTATATGAAATGTTGATTTACTTATGTGTAATTCCCTCCACAGGGATTCTGTCAGCACCTGCTTCCTCCACAACAGTATGAACATTTACTTCCTCCTTCATGAATGGAAAAGTCAAAACCTCCTTAATACTGTAGTTATCGGTTAAGAACATGACCAGACGATCAATTCCCATACCCCAACCAGCCGTAGGTGGCAAACCAAACTCTAGTGCTCTGACGAAGTTCTCATCGATCAATTGAGCTTCATCATCACCTTGATCCTTTTGTCTAGCTTGCTCTTCGAATCTGAGACGTTGCTCAAATGGATCATTCAACTCAGTATATGCGTTAACAATTTCCTTCTTGCAAACAAATGCCTCGAAACGTTCACACAAGCCAGGCTTGCTACGGTGGTGCTTAGCGAGTGGTGACATCATCTTTGGGTGCTCAGTGATGAAAGTTGGGTTAATGCAGGTCTCTTCAATGAATTCACCAACAAGCTTATCAAGCATGCGGGCGTTTGTGAGAGGAGGTGAGCATTCAACCTTCATCTTCTTGAGGACTCTCTTGAAGAATTCATTGGATTCGTCAGTGTGCAACTCATCCGCAGGTGGGAATTTCTCTCCGGTTGCTTCCTCAAGAGCTGGAATCATCTCAATACGCTTCCAAGGAGCAGCCCAATTGACTTCATATTCTTCTCCGTGTTGAGTGTGGAATTTAGTTGTAGTACCTCCAGTAATGTGCTTGACAAGACCAGAAACCAACTCTTCGGTCATATCCATGGTATCATAAACATCGGCATATGCCATATAGAACTCACAGGTTGTGAATTCAGGGTTATGTGTAAGATCGATACCTTCGTTACGGAATTGACGTCCCATCTCATAAACACGGTTCATACCACCAACGACAAGCATCTTGAGGTAAAGTTCTGGAGCAATACGCATGAACATGTCCATATTAAGGTCATTGTGGTGAGTCTTAAATGGCTTGGCTGTAGCACCTCCAGCAATTGAATTCATCATAGGAGTCTCCACTTCCTTGAAATCCCTCGAGTTGAAGTAATTGCGAATATATGCAGTAATGTCGGAACGAGTCATGAGAACCTTTCGGCTAGTGTCATTCATGATCAAATCAAGATATCTCTGGCGATGTCTCTTTTCGTGATCTTTAAATCCGTAGTACTCATCTGGAAGTTGTTGTACACAAGGGGTGAGTAAAATAATCTCTGTCGCAAAGATCGAAAGTTCTCCCTCTTCTCCCTTCTCAATCTTGTTCTTTGGTGCAGTTCGTCCTGGGTATCCAACAATACCAATAACATCTCCACGACGTAAAGGTTCATGCTGACTTTCAAACGATGGGGCTCCTTCTCTAGATTCCTGGAGTTGGCACATAACTTGAATCTTGGTATCTTCAGACTTGACATCGTAGAAGACGAGCTTGTTTCCCGAGGCACGCTTATTGTAGATTCTAGCTCCGAGGCGGATCTCCACGTCTTTCTTGTGCTCTCCTGACTTCAAATGACCGAAATCCTTGGCGAAGTTCTGCAAGTTATAGTTCTGCTGGAATTTGTGTACATATGGGTCGGGGGAGTTGGCTTCTTGCTTGTTATATGCTGCTTGCATCTTCTTGATTTGTCGCGAACGGATCTCAAAGTATTGCTATGAATCAATTGTCAGTCAAGATTCAACGTCGAGATCCCGAGAGATAAATACTCTTGGGTCCAAATCCTTCTCCTCAGCTTCAGCGTTACTCTTCTTGACCGCGGCTGGCCTTGCTGGAAGAGCAGCAGCTTTCTTTGCCTTTTCTTCTTCCTTTTGTCTCTGCTTTTGTCTCTTCTTCAATTCGGTCTTGGAGACCATCTCTCCAGTGACCTCATCGAGTAGCTTAGCTACGCTTTCCGTTGGTGTCGACATGATTGCGGTTTATACAATTGTGTTGTGGATAAACAAAACAATTGTAAAAAGGTGAGGGGAGGTCGTCGATTTATTTACAAAAATTATGGTGGGATGAATTTGGCGGGGTTGAGTCACTTGTTAGTGTGACTCGCTAGCGTATGGAAGTGAGTCCGATTTATAGCGGCGGGATAAGCCATGGGCTAAAGTGGCATTAGATAACAATAAATCAGCCGGTCGATCGGGTCAATCTAGCTAATCTTATAAGTTACATGGTGAACAGATACTATAGCGGCATCGTGGCGGATGGCTAATGGCTACGGCGGCTCTAGATAATATCTATAGTTTGAAATAAGATCGTAGATCAAATTTATTTACTCACGTCTTGATGTAAATATTGATAAGGGCGACATCGGTATCAAAATTTAGCATCTTTCTCAAAAATTCACGGTTAATGAAATCATCATTATCTGAAAACAATGTCTTTGAAAAGTGTTTTCTGGCTTGAAATCAGCCGACCACGTCAACTCCATTATATTTAGACTATGCGGTTGCCATTATGAAGTGTTGATTTTGATTTAGTTGTGACACTCCAATTCTGGTGAGCTTGGTTATTTTTATTATCTACTTATATCGAGTCATCTCCATTCTGCTTCGCGAGCTTAACAATTACACAACTGAAGAAGCCGGACATGATAAGTTTTCATCTAACAGATATGGATAACAATACCAAAGAGGACTGTAAAGCAAAGTCTCGTGATTGTATCAGTATATACAATTTCGACATACAGATCATTTTGACCGTCAGTCTAAAGCAACGTGAAGTATTATGTCTGTTTTATAGCTTCAATATCAAGCCCTAGTACATGATATACATGATTACGGACTACCTAAATCCTTCTAAGATCAAGAGTGTTGTAAAAATACGATCGACCATGAGTAATACCAAGAGTCAAGATGGGGAGTCATCTTGAGGTTTTGGTCGAGATTCAGATTTACCATGTATTTTTTCATTCTATATCTCTCCTCTCAGCGAGAAATGAAGCTCGCCTTTCCTCTCTCTCATTCCTACTTGTATGGGAAGACATACTATTCTGTCATTGCAAGAACAAGCACCCTGTCTTATTTCTCTCTTTTGATATCATATGTCTCGATTTTTGGGTAAACGCAAAAATATCAATGATATCACCTAAAAAACAACTAAATTAAAAGCTAGCCATTTGCCTGATTCCACGGGTATCACGCGCTGAATGAATGTATCATATTCCCAAATCCAAAACGTACCCGTTCGTAAGACAAATCCACCCTCCATTCCTACCCTTCATATTACATATCACGCCTCTGTGTCATATGTCCTACAACTCGGACTATAATTGCCAATAAACCGTCCCTATCACTCACTGGTAACGGACCCTTCGACTCCCTAACATTTACCCAACTCCACTCATTGATCAATCTCGCTAAGATTTCTCAGGAACTTAATCCTCGCATGAATTCTCTCATCACCATGTTTTTCTCTGATTCTCTCGTATTCTTTTCCTTTCTTCTTCTTCAATGCATCATCGTCCCTTTGAGTCCAGACTCCTGCTAAATCATCCGGTATCCCGTGTCCCATTTGCATTTGGTTCATGACTGGACTTGCAATATCAAAGTCATAAGTTGACGCCATTAGAGCGTCATAGATAATATCTTCGGGATAGCCAAGGGCAATATATTTAGCGAGCTCAATATCAACGATGTCTTGTGAATCTGCTTCTTCTTCTGCTTCCGCTTCCGATTCTGTAGATGAATCTCGAGATAAGTCAATAATGGAACCTGGGGTCCTTTTCCTCCGGACTGGAGTTGAAGATACTGGTGGTGCTTGATCGTCAATGTCTGGGTAATAGAAGTCTTGCGTCTCTGGCTCAACTGTGAGGCTTTTTGCTGAAGCTTTCCGAACTAAATCTCGTGGTTTTTTTTGTTGAATACGAAGGGGTTTTTCTCGATCTTCACGATCGCTACCATCCTCACTGCTACCACCATTATTATTCTCGTTGATTTGAAATTTCAGTGGCGATATACGACGGGGTGGTTGTGTAGCATTGAAAATATGTTCTGGGGTCGATGGAATCTCTACCTCTTTACCTTTACCCTTATCAATCCTAACACGTTTAGCTTGACGCTTAGAGTTGACTGCTGAAGATCCGCTATGAATGGATAATCCATCAGATTCAATCGCGCGCTTCTTGGTTGACATGGTTGAAAACTGCCTAGAATTTTTCAATGGTGGTAGTTCTATGACTTCATCGTCATCCTCTACATCCCTTCCGTGATCAGAAGGTCTTTGAACACTGCGTATAGTTGTATCAGCAAGCTGTGAGGCTATCAAAGTCTCATCTTGCGAGCCCGCGAACATAAGGATACTCTGCGGATCATTCTCTTCTTCGGTTACGACTCTTTCAAATTCAGATAGAATTTCGTCATAACAGCTCTTCAAATCTTGCGCAGCCTCGGAACGGTTTGCAATAGGGAAGCCTAATTTATCAGCCACCTCGTGCCACCGATCTTCGGCGTTTATCGTTTCAAAGCCGCCAAATATTATAACGATTTGCCACAGCCTGAAGAGAGAAATCTGTTTTCCACGAATCATGGGACTAAAAATTGGTTCTTCTTCATCCTCTTCACAGAATTGTTTTAGTGTTAGCGTGAAGTAGTCCTCTTCGGTCGTCAGCGAATTCATAAAAGGCCTTTGTTCCAAATCAATCTCCCACGGTGCTGCCTCTGGTGCCTTTGGTTCTTGATCGACTTTTGGTTTAGCATTGCGAGAAGGTGTAACAGAACTTCGACCAGTGGCTGTTACCAAGGCTTCTTCAATCCGGGGCGTAGAGTGCTTCGTTTTTGCGGTTACTTCCGGTGTGCTTAATTTTGACTTGCCTCTTGGTTCAGCGTTGCCAGAGGACTTAACCGACCTTTCAACGACAATTTCTGGTGAGGTTTTCTTCTGCTTGTGAGTAGAATGCTTTGTTCGTGTTGAGACTTCAGGTGTCTTTGACTTTGGATCAACTCTTGATTCTGTATTGTGAGACGTAGCTGAGCTTCTGGCAGTAGTTTTTACTGAGATTCTGTCCGGCTTGTTGGTAGAATTATTCGTTTGCGTGGAAATTTTGGTACTTCTACCACTTGGGGGATCAGAAACTTGCCGAATCGATGAAGATGATACAGACTTAACAGTTGTCTCTGTCTTCTTTTTCCTATTCTTCATTTCTCGGGGGCGAAAGTATTCATGGAAATAGTTTCGCCATTCTTGAGCAGGATGACGTCCATTCTGCATATCTTCATATAAGCGGGGTTTCGCATGGATTAATAGGTGTCAAGCTTACCTCTTCAGTCCACAACTCCCAAGCCTCAATTTCTTTAGATGGATCTATGTTGCAAATAGCCTCAAATTCATCTCGTAAAAGATCGTCATCCTCCTTTGTAAAAAGTCCTCCAGTCACAACTTTTTCTATCTCTACCTCGGGAGATGAGGCTCTTGAAACTATTGGTCGAGGTGGTTGAGGCGGCGGTCGAGAGCTTGGGTGCTTTGACGGAGCTGACGAGGCAGGAACCAGGACTGTTCCACTCGACGCCGCAGATTTTGCGCGTTCTTGAGAAACTCTTGATGCAAGAGGCTTAGCTAGCCCCTTTCCAGTATTTTTCGGTTCCCTACTGGGACATGGTAAATTGCCATCGCGCTCATAATGTAAATTCCCTGCCTCATAACTGGGCAGAAGATGTCTCTTCCAATGATCTAGCCAAGATTGATATGTGTGATGAGGATACTGTGATAACAATTAATTCAAGTTCAAAATAGTCATCTGAGTATTCAGGAAATATCCATACTCGTTCTGCTAATTCAATGTATAATTGGTTACCCTTCGTAGATCGTCCCAGACGCTCTCCCTCCAAGACCCATTGGGTCAATATTCGATCATCCTCAGGTGTAAAAGGTGTGCGCGTAGATTTCGCAGGTTGTGCAAATGTTCGTTCTGGTGCACCACATCGATATTCCTCCATGTCTACCAATTTTCCAGCCTTCGCAGATGCTTCAATAAACTTCCATGAAATAGATCCCGGCGGCGCATCTTTTCGCGCACCATCTGCAATTATAATCTCGGCATTCTTTTCGATTTTTTCGACTTCACCCCCGTTTGACTGTCGCAATGATTAACATGTTTCTTTCCCTTCCATTTAAAAGACGCCCTTACTCGAATTATCTCCACCCATCTTGAGCGCATAGGAACTCGCTGAAGGATAAAGAATTTCATTCTTTCAAAAAGGACTCCTCCACCCCCAACACCATCATATACAACAGAGGCCATGGTTTTGGCCTTTGCGACAAGAGAGGAGTTGTCGGTCGCAAGTCGTTTGAGGAGAGTAAATTTAATCGGAAGGGAACATCTATTCAAGGAAATGTTTGAAAGAAGCGAGTGCCTTCAAAACATGCATCTAATTTTATTGATTCTCATTGATTGGGTCCATACAAGTAAGATCTGGGGTAAAGAATTGTTGCTTGTCGCAAATTATGTGATGTTATTAACATTATAACCTTTGACGCGCTCAGAAAGCCAACACTCCCCGCGCGATCAGCTGATAACCCTACGAATGATATCGGGCTTGGCAAAGATTATGTACCGAAGCAAAGGCTAATAAGCTAACAACTTTGAAACTCTCGATGCTCACGTAAACTTTGAGTTATAAGTTAGTATCATGATTTTCTAGACTTTATTGATTAATCTGCTTTCATACTTTCACACTCTTTTTTTTTTAGGAATATAGAAAATAACTGATTCTGTTCAAAAATGGGTACTGTTCGGAATATTGCAATAGCTGTTCTAATTGTTTCTTTTTTCACATTCGTTGCGTTCTTCGGCAGGCTTCCAGCATTAAGGTATCACCACTATTAATTCTCTTTGTGTTTCATGTGCTTATAACTTGACAGGAATACACCAATAGGTATTTTACATCGAGTAATATGGGTACACATTCCTCGAGGGTTTAGAGCTGCAGATGAAAGGTTGACCAATGGTCGTCTCAGTGCTTCGGTGGGAAGACTGGCTCATACGTTATGGAATGATCGTCATCCTGTTGTTATGGTAAGATTGGTTTTCTTTCCATTCAAGAGAGCATGAAGTCAAGTGACACATACATTATTCATCAAGTAGCATACCTTCAAGTGATATGGGTCGACTATATACAGCGCATAATGAGGTTCTAGCTACACACGTCCTTCTTGTGGTTCGTGGTACACTGTTTGTCCCTGAATCCTCGGAGTGAGTAGTCCTTGACCATGCTAACTGAGGTTAAGATATTCTTCATTCTTCTACTTTCCGTGTCCGAGATTATGTTCTTGCCTTCAGCATGGCCATTTATGAGCACATCTCGCAAGATAAAGGCAATAATTGCTGTGACATTACCATATGTCTTTCTCTATCTAGCTGCTTCTCGTGATCCAGGATATATCACACCTTCGAATCACGTTCATCAAATGAGTATTTATCCTTATGACTATACCATTTTCCACCCTGGAAACCCTTGTCGAACATGCCATTTGCTCAAACCAGCCAGATCCAAGCATTGTCATGTTTGTAAACATTGCATCGCAAAATGCGATCACCATTGTGTCTTTATCAACAACTGCGTGGGTTACAACAACCACCATTGGTTTCTCCTCCTTCTTTTCACGACTGGGAATCTCACCACTTACGCTGTTTACATTGGCAACTCTATTCTCTCCACTTTCATCGTCGCCGTATATCCAGAATGGTCTTTTCTAGGGTTCGGTTTTTCCTGGTCTCGCTACTTCTCAATCTGGGGATGGGCATTACAAGAACACACCCGAATTGGTTCCATAACTCTCTTATGTTTCCTCATCACCCCCTTAGTCTATGGACTTTTTTTCTTTCACATCTATTTAATTTGGTGCGGCACCACCACCAACGAAAGTCAAAAATGGTCCGATTGGGATATCGAGATGGCCGAGGGATATGTTTTCAAACGCGCGCTCTCCGAAAACAGAGAGAAGAATTTACGAATAGAACCACCGTGGACACATTGGCCAGCCGAAAGTCAACAGATAGTTTTGCGTACAGCCGATGGACAGGATCCTGTCGGAGCAATCGGAGATGGAGAATGGCAACGCGTGTGGGGTTTGAGGGATGTGGAGAATTTATATGATATTGGATTTGTAGATAATCTGAAAGATGTGTTTTTTGGGCGGCAGGGTGTGTATCAAATACCAGATACAGAGATCGGTGTGCCGTTGGAGGAACCGAGGGGTAGAAGTTCAGAGCCATCGGGTGAGTAGTATTTATATAGATCTAGATGTACAATCATGATTCTCAATAATCCGTAATTCATGGTTGTGTTTCTTGCATTTCGCTTTATAATCTATCTGATCTACAAACTTCAAGTTCATCTTCCTTCTTACTTTAGCTCACTTTTATAGCTTCACATTATGACAAAATACCTCACCTCCTCAATGACAATCCCTTTAAAACATTCTGTACAAAGCTCATCAGCATGACTTTCAAGTCAATAGACACCAAATTTCCCCTCAAATGCCTAAATAGGTAGATTAAACAACTCAAATCCTCCCAGCCCAAAGTTACCACTCATAAACACACCTCCTTAATCCCTCCTCCCCTACTCAAGACCAAACATCCCCCTCTCCCACCCATACGACCTCCCCAAACGTCTCCCCATCCTCCTCGCCGTGCGAAACGCAATTTTCCCCGAAGGATGCGGTTCATGAAACTGGATACTGCGCTCAACCTCCAATTTCGTCGGCGTAAACTGCCACACCGAACCGTATTGTTTTTCGGCCGCGAAACCCGCAGACATCATTGCGTAGAGGAAGTCCGCCCAGGGAATTTCGCCTGGGAGATCGTTGAGAGAGGGTTGCCAGAAGAGAGCTTTGAAGACTTTGATTGCGCGGGCTTTGAGTTTGAATGTTGGTTGAGAGCCCGAAGTTGGAGTTAGAGTTGGAGTTAGAGTTGAAGTTGCTGCTGGAGCCGCTTCTGCTGCTAATGTAGTTGCAGACTCGGTGGTAATTTCTGCACCGCGAGTCTTGGGCTTGGACTTTGGTCGTGGGGCAATGAATTTGGTAGTATCGTTGGAGCCAAATTGTGGTATTGGAGAAGCTTCATCGCGATCAGTTCTATCCTGAGGTTTAGTCTTTGGTACCTTTATTGGCTCGACCCATTCGGGTGTTCGCTCGAGCGGACGCACGGCGGTACAGATATGCTTGACAGCCTGAGTCAATGTTTGCCCAGTATTTCTTTGGTAGACCTCGTCCATTTTCTGCCAAAACTCGTCCAAGTTATGCTCAGCTTTCCTCATACTCTCCGTATTCTGTTTGTTCCTTCGTTTATCCGATGGGTAATGGAAGCGTCCCTCAGCTGGAGATCCGAATTTAGCCAAGCCGGTAGCTTTGAGATGGCGATCCACGCTGGCAAGTAAACTGAGCTGCTTAGGAAACTCCTTCTCAATCTGCTCTTTATGCTCTACTAGCGCATTATCGTAATCAGCAGCCCATGGCAGATATATGTCCAGTTCATGATAGATCCGCGAGATGAGACTAAGATCAGAAAAGATACGTGTAACCAAAGCCGAAAATTTTGATTTTTCATTTGGATCCCGTTCAATCCTACTTTTAATTTCATCTACTAGAGTAGGTAGGGTCATCAGGAGAAGCTGCTAATCATTCCAGAGACTGTTGAAAAGCCACATCATCTCATCCAGTCCTCCTTTACTCCGAACTTGGATCATTGTAGAACCTGGTACTTGTGGGTCGCGAACAAATTTTGAACGATATGGTGGCGATGCTGGGACTGCCATCTTCAAATTTCTGATTGGACCTTTCACCATCTGGCTTAGCGTATATCTCAACGTCAGCAATGCCTTCATGTATTCTGAAGGTAATTGCCTTTTCGGTGTAATTTTAGAAGCATACTTCTTCTGCAGGAAGGCTAGGTGCTTAAGTTGTCGAGCGACGTTCTCCCATACGATTAAAGCACCGTACGCATCGGAGACGGCGTTCCCAATAACATATTCCCAGAAAAATGGTCTATCAAGCGTAGGATGTCGATTTCCAAAGGTGTCGAGCAATTTTTCCTGTCTATGTTCGCTCCAATCTCCCAAAACTTCGGCAAAATAGCCAGGATCTTCTCTCAAGTCTCGAATATAATCCTCAACACCCATTCGTCTAGCCTCAACGATAACCTGGAGACGATGAAAATCGAGTTTCGAAGGTAGGCGATAAGGTGCTTCGGCAGCTACAGCTGCAATGGTCGACCAGTCCGAAACATCTGTGAGGAGAGGCGGCTCTGGCTTGATCGATGCCTCGCTGATCAAGGAATCAGCATCAATATCATGTAGCAGTGCCTCACAGCACTTTACCAGCAGATGCAGTAGTCTTTGTTGTATTCCCAAGATCATAAGTCCCGATCCCGGTAGGTGTGCAAGACCAGCGAATGTGTCCATCATAGCATCTTCATCTTCATCCCAAGAAACAAGACGGCCGTAAGTTTTGACTGTTTCTCCCTCAAGCAACATAGTATGAACATTAAGAAAAGCAGGCATAGTAGCAGCACTAACACGGCCAAGCTGCGTGGCTTGAAAATCCGTGTGTGCGAAGACATGGGGTGGATGTCGACCTCTAGAGTTGATTAGAAGGAGAAAGGTTTTCCCTCTCACCAAATCTTCCACGTTGAGATATGGCCATAAACACGCTTCCCTGTACTTTGTGCCATTTGTTTTCAGCTGACTCCCCTCTTTAATCAATGCCTCGAAATCCGGACGATGAGTTGCAGACATTCCCGGCCATGCTTGTAGAATAATCTTAGATCAATGAACTTTTGATTTCTTCATCCATCGTTTTCGTATGACATCCTCATGCCTCTCCAATATCTGTCTTAGTCTATTCCAATGAGATAACACTTCTGTAGATCGTTCCTTGGCTTCTTGTCGAACCTTTTCCGGAGTAGGCAGAGATGACGGTGCAGGTAGACCCAAAGCTCCATAGCCTCCGGATGTGAATTGCTTCATTTGTTCATAGTCAAGGGGCGGAAGTGATTCTGAAGGTTCTGAGAGCCCGAGAGCTCCAAAATCCCCACCCAGAAATCTGTCAATGACATCTTTTGAGAAAGCCATCCTGTTTACGTTCCGGGTGCGCAATACGGAAAAGCAAGCCTACTCAAGAAATAGTCTATTCGATTATTGAATGATTAGAACACTCGTTGTCTTCTGTTGACGGTGTGAGATAGTATGAAATATGATTGGAATACAACTGGGAGTCCAATATTTTCATTTTGATCAACTTCATCAGAAATTTAGAGTTTGATTGCGTAATACAAACTGTGATCACTTGATATGTGAATTGAAAAGAGTTGTTTGCTATGGCGGTCTGTTGGGGGGCAGCAGTGGGGTGTTTTCGAGGACATCGTAGCTTCTGAGAGAGCCCACCAGAAATACACAGATGAAGCTCGAGAAATATGCTTTGTCCTAGGTATAACGTAAAAGATATATCAGAGAATGTAGCCACTAGCCATTTCTATTCCTCTCCATATCCTATTTCAGATTCGACGTCAAGTAGGTAACCAACCTCCTTTTCATTATTCCGACTTGGAGCAAACTCACTCTTTATACTTCTTGTGTGAATTCGTTGTACCTATCAGAAACTAAATGAAATCCTGTTTTAGGTCCTATGTGTGGCAACAAACCCCTCCACTGTACACCGCTCTGAATGTATTTAATCATTTCCATTGGTCTCATATCAAATAATCACATCCGAATTAGTGTAGGGGTTAACATAACTCGCTTTCATTGTCACTTGACATACAACCGAGTAGCCCCGGGTTCGATTCCCGGATTCGGAATTATTGTTTTGCATCTTTTATATTTACTTATATTTATTTTTTCACTCTATATAGACAGTACCATCCATCTACTCTAACACTCTTGTTTTCCTCTTTTGCACATAAATCTCTCACTTTTTTTGCTGCATTCGAGAATGTGGGGTTAAGAGGGGTAGAGTCAGTCACATGAAATATACAAATAGTGGGGACATGAAGAAAGAAGAAAGAAGAAAGAAGAAAGGTAATCTTCGGAGGAGTACTATACTGCGTAACAATAACCGAGACTATCTCGACTATTCATCATTTTCAATATCGATGATGATGATGATGACAATACGGATTGATTCGATTCGAGTGGAGGCTAACTACTCCAGAATAGGTAGCTAGATACTTACTCACTACTCAAGTAATCAAATTCCCTGTACCTCCTTCCTACGTATACATCGTAGTACTTTGCCATGCATCCATCCAATGCATCCATCAATCTTGCAACTAATACTAATGCAAAAAGGGACCAAACCCTAAAAAGCAATGCACCAACCTACCAATCGGCACACATCAAGCCACGTACAGAATGCTTCTGAGGGCTAGATACATACTAACGACATTAGATCGACACTAGAAGAATGTAAAACTGACTACTGCGAATAGATTTTCTTGGCATTACTCTTTGATGTAACGGTAGCTTCTTTTTCTTATCTCTCTCTTCCACGAATCTTTCACCAACCGAGGCACGCGAGCGATTCCGAGATTGATAATGGTTTCGATGCTAAACAACTTGTGATTCGCAAGCTATGCTGTTCTATATACAATCTTATTATACTATACTATGTAGGTATGTTATGCCCAATTTATCCCAACTCCGAAGATTAACAGAATCTATCTGCCATCTCTCTATAACCAATACCATACCTAAACTTTGCAATCATATCATATCATAATATCCCACAAAAACTTCAAATCCCAGTGCGAGTTCCAGAATCCAAACTCCTTTCCTTTTCGCCCCCCTCAGACATTACTGTTTCCCCAATGCATTCCCAAGCATCTCGGTAATAGCAGTAACCTTTTCCTCTTGAAACCTTCTCCCCACAATCTGCACGCTCACATGCGCACCATCATAAACTTCAGGATCATCTGATATTCGTTAGCATCTCTCTTTCAAACATGCCAAGATCTTTGTACAAAGACCCGGACAGTATATCGAGATAAGGAATCAAACATACAGCATTTCCAAACCTTTTCATCCTCTGCATTTAGTGGTTGGTACTCTGGATCGAAAACATCCACATTCTTATCCACCATTGTAACCGGTAAGATAGCAGCGCTGTAGTCGAGAAGATTGACAAATGTCGAATATGCTATTAAATATCAATTAGCTCCAGCTGTTCATTGCATCGTTTCCATTCCGTAGAACCAAACAATACGAAAAAAGCATACCTATGTAATCGAATGTCATTGTAAGATTCGCAGGCATAGGAGCCAAAGGAGTAATAACGGCATCGATAGCTCTACCAGTACCAGTAAGTGAGGCAGTGCTGTTCCAATAGTCCATGTATTCTTTCTGATATTCGCGTTTCTCGACATTTACTGCGGCGATGTCGAAACCGGTCATTTGAGGTTTGAGAGTACTGTAGTGACCTTGTATTTGAGGGATCATGGGTTCTCCGGAGAGTGCCAGGGCTTCGTGAACTAGAGGTTGTGAGTTTATAGATTTAAAAGATCGGAATATTAGAGGGACAAACCATCTTTTCCACCGTCAAAAGACCATGCTTTACTCTAATTGGTTGTTAGAAAGTATTCTTATGTAGATGGGGAGAAAACTTACTCCTATCGCGCATCCTCTTTGATGAGAAGGTGGTTTCCACTAAAGTTCTGTGATTAGCAAATATGTATATGAAGAGAGAATTGGGTCTCATGATTCATAATATTTGGATGTTTCCAACTCACTTCGATAACCTTGTGTCCAAGTCTCTTGACGGTATTAACCACGATATCAATAGCTCTAGCAACAGGAGGTTGAGGAGCAACCCCTCTATCGCACTTGAAGACTCCGAAAGCCAATTGACCACCACCAGTAGATTTGATAGCATCAAGAACCATTTGTTCTTGTTCATCACGCCATGGTATTTCACATACTAATGGATCATGTAGCCACGGTTGAGCACTAAGAATGCTCTTCATGACCAATTTCAAAGATCGAGCTGTTGTGGCAATTGGGCCCACAACCGATAAAATAGTATTTTGTCCAGCCGAACTGTTGGCCATACCTTCATAAGGCATTCTACCTGCCGAGGGACGAATGCCATAAAGCCCATTGAAAGCTGCTGGGATCCGAATGCTTCCTCCAACATCAGTACCAAACCCAACTGGACTACCTCTCAGTCCTATCAATGCTCCTTCACCTCCCGAACTTCCACCTGGTCCTAAGAGTCTGTTCTTTGGATTCTCCGTGGTACCCATGATATTGTTGACAGTCTCACCCGCCATGAGTGTTTGAGGAACGGTTGTTTTACAAAACATTATCGCACCAAGACTTCGTAATTCTTTGACCATCTCGCTCTCAAAAACTCGCTCTTTTCCTGTACCCTTCTTTCCTTCAAAAGTTCCAATCCAGCCTACATAGCCCATAGTGGTTTCCACACCTCTAACATGGAACCTAAAGACTTGTGAGAAATTTACGTCTATAATAAAGAGCGAACTTACTGGTCTTTCAAGCTGACTGGTAATCCATGTAGTGGCCCAATTGGCTCTCTGTGTTCAGCAAAATAATCGTCCAGTTTTTGCGCTTCTAAAATAGCATCATCGAAAAATATTTCATGCAAACAGTTAACCTAAATCAATATTAGAATCGCAGTTCGAAGCAGATGTTAAATTGCTGACCAATTGATGCGCCAAAGCTGCTCGATGACAGAAAGCTTCACAAACTTCCCGTGACTTCCATTCGCCACTGCTAGTTTTCTGTACAATCCCCACAGCGTCCGTCTCAGTGATCTCAATCTCTCGAGCAGAAAGAAACTGCTGAATGTAATCGCCCGTTACATCTTTCTGTTCCTCGACCGAGGGTATCGAGTCCAAGCGCCATTCCTCAGGGATCAAACCGTTGACCGATTCACGCTTATTCTTTGCGACAATTTGCCAATCCGAGATGACTGAATTTGGATCAAGTTGCTGGCTTCTCTCGAAGAATTTCCCGTAGCAATACGTCTTAATTTGAGATGCGGTAATAACGAAAGAATGTAAAATGTGTTTGCCCTGAGTGTGCGACAACATATCGGATTTCGCTGGTTGAGTCGCCGCCCAAGGGCCCATGATAGGTAAGGGCGACTGGCTGTCTGCGTCGCCGCCCATAATTATTTCTCTTATAGTAGTGTGATCCATGAAAGAATAAAAGATTGAGATTTGTGTTGATAGTACAAAGGGGTGTCGAACTTATATATGAAATTTTTGCTGAACTGATAAGGAAATGTAGTGTGTGTGAGTTGTTATCAATGCATCGTAAATTAGTCGGAAACTATCGCGTGGTAGTTTAAGCATAAAGGGGCTAGATCAGGATTGGCGAATCAACGGTCCGACTTTTGCTCTCGCACTTGTCGCACATTCAAATTGATTCTTTTATCTGTCATGAAATGTGGGAACTTTTTTATATCCAACTCGAGGTCTGCGAGATAATCTGGGCACGTGCCAGGAATTATCTTTGGAACTCCATGCCAAGCAAATCGAGAATCCTTCTGCATATAAAGTACATCGCCAGACCTGAGACGGAGAACCAAATGGTCGTTTTCGGATTTGGGGTTGTCCAAGGCGATCATGAAGATACAATCACAACCAAGACTGATGCTAACAAGGCCGCGATCAACACTCTCTGCGCCATCCCGATGTAATTGTAAAGTGTCTTTGGGAGAATAAAAATTGACAATGGCTGCTTGCGGTTCCATGTCAGGGAAAAGCCGTTCGACAAGATTCGCAATATCACTTGGAAATCTGGGTGGCTCCTCTTCCGGATATACTTTGTTTGTCCAGTCATATTGCCCCCCAAGAGTGATCCAGCGTAACTTTTTCGTCATGACCTCCAAGTAATTTAATGCTTTTGGGTGTGCTGCTGGATCCTTCGGCTTGGCAACAATTGATTCCCCAGAAGCAGTTTCACGAGGTGGAAATTTGACATCGTAATGGGCATGTAGATTGGTCATGTGTTTTGGATCTAGAAGATCACGGTGTACTATACGCTGGATCAACTCTTTCTGAACCTCTGGGGGAATGAGAGATGGAAAAACCATGAGACCTAGATCATGATTAGAAGTTGTTTTGCCGAAGGCGTTTGGTAAGTTCAGGGGAAAGAATGTAGAAAGAAATACGGGTTGGTCTGTGAGATACCACAACTTTTGAGATGCAAAGAAGTATGAGCATCTTAGTCTTTCAACCAATCTGAATCTTTTGAATAGGCTAATCTTTTGGTCATTTGTGTCTGCGGTAGAAGAAAGAGATGCTGTGATTCCTACCAGGTATAACTTCAGATCCATACGATGAACCTTCTAGCTGTGATCTAGATAAAGGTAATTCAGGATCAAGCGATCCGGTCGAACACCCCTTTTGAGAGGTGTTTAGAGGAGCAGCACTCATAAAATCTTGAAAAGCTATGTTGCGCGTCTCTTCGGGTAGGGTTTCCAGATCAATCATTCCAGTGATAGAAGGAGAATCTTCGGTTGCGGTGTAAGTAGTCTGTTTACAAAGCTTGAATGCTTCTTTCAAATGCCGGGGAGCACTTTGATGAAGCTCCTTTTGCTCCATCTTGGCCGTCAGTGTTGTGGTTTGATCTAGAAGGGTATTCACCATCCTTGCAGGTGTTCGTGGTATGTCGACGAAGGAAAGTATTTTCCCTGTTGATCGGTCTGATGAGAGTAGTTGATTGAGAACTTGCTCCCGTATGAGGTGTTTGACTAGTACAAGGATTATGAAGTTGTCTTGTGAAGTGTTCCAATCAACAGTTGTGATCTGAATCAAGCTTCCCACGAACCAGGAGAAGTCACTATGTACTGGGCTGTAACCTTCTTGGGTAGGTAGATAATCGAATCGTGCCTTACCTACAGGAAAAACGGTAGAGGAGAGGTAGAGCTAGCACCAACAAGGATCATGTATACAATTTTATATATTTATACGTTTTTTTGACTTTTCGGCAGCATTACTTATTAGAACCTAGTACAGTCAGTATATCCGACCTCGCGTCAAAAACGCGCCCGCTTATTCCGCCTGGTCCTGGGTTACGATTTGTTTAATGTTTTGTTTGGTTGTTTGGTTGTTTAGTTGTTTTGCTTATTCTCTTGTTTACTCCTGAGCTTGAGCACGAATAATAACTGAACGACAATACTAACAATACTATAAACGACACCGTACGGCTTCTTCTTTCTCTTTCTCTTTCTCTTTCTCTTCTTCTCACTCCAATTCGAGTACAAATTCGAGTATCACGAGTAATACGACACAAAAGATTCTACGGCAACTTAATACAACAACAATCCTTCATCACAACCATCTTCTTAAGGCGAATTCGTTACTCTTCCTCTCATTTACGAATCCTTCCAATCTTTGCATAGGTCCATCTTCTTCCAAAATAGATGCTGTTGTTACCATAAATCCCAGGATCAATTACCATTCCAAACTACCCCTCCTTCACCGCCCCACTTCAACGGACAAAAGCAGATTTATTTCAACTTGTCCTCGACGTTCTTTAAACCTTTCAACATCAAGCATATTCGATAATGGAGAACTATCAGAAGTTGGAAAAGATTGGAGAGGGTACGTTTATGCGCGAAAGCTCCTAGCCCAAGGAATCATTTCACACAGTCCTTTGTGAACTGAATAACAAGGAATTCAATACTAACATCATTCACGCCCAGGTACTTACGGTGTTGTTTACAAAGCCAAGGATCTTTCCCATCCAGGACGTATCGTTGCCCTGAAGAAGATTCGACTCGAGGCAGAAGATGAAGGAGTTCCCAGCACCGCCATTAGAGAAATTTCTCTCCTCAAGGAAATGAACGATCCAAATATTGTTCGACTTCTCAATATTGTTCACGCAGATGGGCATAAATTATACCTCGTCATGGAGTTCCTCGACCTTGATCTTAAGAAATATATGGAATCACTTCCAGTTGCCGACGGTGGTAGAGGTAGAGCTTTGCCGGAAGGATCTGGTCCAGATTTGGGTAGGATGGGTATGGGTGATGCCATGATTAAGAAGTTCATGAGTCAATTGTGCGAAGGTATCCGATATTGTCACGCGCATCGAGTTCTTCACCGAGATTTGAAGCCACAGAACTTGCTCATTGATCGGGAAGGTAACCTTAAGCTTGCAGATTTCGGTCTTGCTCGTGCTTTTGGTGTCCCTCTTCGAACATATACCCACGAAGTTGTTACCTTATGGTACCGTGCTCCTGAAATTCTGCTCGGAGGTCGACAATACTCTACTGGTGTTGATATGTGGTCTGTTGGATGTATTTTCGCAGAGATGTGTACGAGAAAGCCATTGTTTCCAGGTGACTCTGAAATTGACGAGATCTTCAAGATCTTCAAGTAAGATACAACCTTTCGGATTTTCCCAATCTACCTCAATGATCTACCTCGACCGAATTCATAACTATACCTTGAATTTAGCTAACATATCAACAGACTCCTAGGTACACCTAACGATCAAGAATGGCCCGGTGTCAGTGACAAGACCTGTTTCCCCGACTTTAAACCATCTTTCCCCAAATGGCAACGCGACATGAGCCAACCCCTTTGCACGAACCTTGACGATAACGGACTGGATCTCCTCGAATTGATGCTTGTCTATGATCCAGCTGGACGTATTTCCGCCAAGCAAGCATGTTCACACCCATATTTTGAGGAAGGAAGCGCGGCATACTCCGGACGAGGCGCAAGCACTACATATAAAACTACAAACGGATACCACTGAGGACTGAAACATACCAATAATTGCATACATTGGATGGTTATGAGTTTGCGATAAGACGAGCCGAGATGATTTATGATATTGAAACCTACGGGAGTGAAAGACACTAAATGGAAGGAAAGAATGGTTGGGGCGGACGAGGAAAATGAATAAATAGAGCTTATAGCTATACATAAAATAGCCATGAGCTTCAGGATAAGAATTGCGTGCATGGAGGGGGGTTTAGTATGAATGCAGTGGATGGGATACACTGTTATGGCTGACAAGCTACACTTCATTTTCTTTTCCCTTTAATTTATTCCATGTTACTAACCTATGTTTTCTGCGCCTTTGTCTTTTTTTATACCTACACTTTTGCAAGTCTTGATAGACAGACAGACAATTAATGGATGGCGTCTTTCTAACATGCCTATCGTCCATTTTTATGCTTGTAGTTGTATTCAAAGAACAAAGATATACACCTTCAGAATTGGGGCTGAGAATATGTGACTGAGATGTGATTGAGATGTGATTGAGATGTGATTGATAATTTTAAATGTGTATTGCGATGTTGCAAAATTTATGTAACCCTTTTTTTCCGTCTTGAATGATATCTATCTATTTATTCGACCATGTAGAGTTCCCAAACGCCTCCGCTTATTTCACTACCTCCTCAAATCTTCATTTCTATTTCACTATATCTTTCCAATCTCATCTTTTCCCCTCTTCTTTCCTTTCGTTTCCCTTCCATCCCCAATCATCTTATTTTCATCCTCTCTCCAATCTTTAACTTCTACCTCTCTTCTATCCACTCTTCCCCTTCTCTCCCCCCACCAACCACCCATCCCTCTTCTCCACCCCCCAATTCTCCCTCGCCAAACTCCTCCTCGCAACCTCAATATCCGTCTCGATATCCCTGACCAAAGACTCCTTATCCACATAATCCAGCTCGGGACGAATATACCCCAGAATCTCCACGCGCATGTTGCTTCCGTAGAAATCTTGGGAGAATTTGTGCAGGAGGTGGACTTCGGCTGAGCGGACCGTGTTGCGGTAGAAGGGGTTGTAGCCGATGGACATTACCATGGGGTAGAGGAGGGTGGTGGAGGGGGAGGGGGAGGAAGGAGGGGATTGCAGTTCGGGGTGAGAAGGGGGGAGATCGAGGGCGGCGTAGCCGAAGTATACGCCGGAGGGGGCGGTGTCGATCCAGGGAACGTTTGTTACGGGGATGTTGGCGGTGGGGATTCCGAGCTGGGGGGTTGTTAGGGTTGGTGGGTTGCGGATGGGGATGGGGGGAAGAGAGGGAAGGGGAGGGAAGGGAAGGGGAGGGAAGGGAAGGGGAGGGAAGGGAAGGGGAGGGAAGGGAAGAGAACGGAAGAGAAAACAGAATACTCACTTCTTTAGATCCGCGACCAAATCCCGAAACCACTTCACCCTCCATTCGCAAAGGATAAGGAGATTCGGGACCGCTTTCCGAACCGACGATTAGAGGGCGGGGTTCTTTAGTCGGCATTGTAGAGGTAGAGGTAGAGGTAGATGTGTATGTGAAGATTGGAGAAATGCGTTTTGGATTGGATTGGATTGGCGGGTGGGAGATTCTGGGTAGAGAAGGTGTATATAATGAGTTATGTTTATGAATGAGGAATGATTGATTGATTGATTGAATAAATGAATCATTATAATTCCATAGCTAGCTAGAGTACTCGATGGCAAATGGTGGGGTGGAATAGAATGATATGATATACTAAGCAAGGCTACATAGAATGATCTTATCTCATTGCGAAGTGGGGGTTCGGCTGGTATAACGCCTTATGCCTTATGGAGCTTTTATTTTATAACTAAATAAGTAGATTGGTAGAGTAAAGTATAGAAAAGGAAATTCTTCAAAGTCTTGTTTATTATCACTATCAAATATATACCTACTTATTTGAGTAATACCAAAAATCACAATTATAGATGTAGATTCACATGAATGACGCTCCGCTAGGCCACTGCCGTGGAGGCTTTTTCGCTTCGCTCTATGATAGGTTATGTATATTATTAATGTACCGATGGTTAATTGTTTATCTAGACTCTAGATGCATATATAGAATTTCCGGATTGATCTAAAATATGTACGTACTACTTCTTATCTACCAGTAGGTCTCTAATATGAAAGCTTACTAGGTAATCAAGGAAAGTTTGTCTTTGACACTTTTCCTCGCGTCTGTCTGGTTGTGTGATATGAGATAGGTGCGGAGGTAAGCTGGAAGTTGGAAGTTTAGCTAAGTAGAAGTAAGTTAAGTATCTTACAAGTACAAAAAGCAGTACAAATACAAACCTCCAAAAGCACTAGGTAGTCATTTCCCTCATCCACAATGCACTACAAAAATCCGAACGAAAGTCTCCTTTCCACGTGGCAACGGCTATCAACAGTACCTTTGTACCTTGCTTTGAACTTCTTGTAATCTTACATACAGAGTACACAGATCCTCATAATATTCCTTTGTACCCACAGGGCATATCTCCACTCCATCTATACTTTGGTATCTGCATCTGTATCTGTATCTGTATCTCTGTACCTTTCGTTAAGATATATCCTACCTCTCCAGGCGCAAAGTTGCAAGGAATAGAATGATGAAGGGATCTAGCGAGCGAGTTTCTATACACATGTCTAGATACTGGTAGAACTACTTTATATCATTTACTTACAATACAGTACAGTACATACCCATTTTTGCTAATAACGCAAAGATTTCATGCATGAAATCAAATGAAACGTCCAGACTCCAACAAAAGTACAGAGTACAGAGTACAGAGTATCATACAAAGTGGATAGTTGACTGCGCGACACTATCCAAAAATACATAAGAAACTAAAACTAAAAAGTGGCTGGGAAACCAACACGGTGATAGTGATGGATGGGTTGTCAAATGTCAGTGCTTAGGTACTTGATACTTACTAGGGACTAATATTAACTACGGATACCTATCTACAGAGTAGTTCTTTCGGAGAGAGATGTAAGAGTATTAGAGATAACAAGTCTTAAATATATAATTTTATATTCGACCATGTATTCTTATTTAACATTACATTTTTATCACAAGGTATAATTACTATATGTTAATATCTACCTAATAAATCCAAGTATTTCTATATACAAAAAAAGAAATTCCCAACCCCCCATGTAACCCACGAGCTAGCTATCTATCTACTCAACTATCTACCTACCCAATATCCATAGTAATACCCTACGCGCTTACCCATCCATCCCTCCCTCCCCGCCTCTCAATTTTCCCAGCCCCAACCCCAAGCAAATTGCAAAAAGCGAATCAAAATCAAAAAAAAAAAATGTAGATGGCAGGACAACTAAGGTAGGCAGGTAGGTGTAAGTGTGACAGAAAAGATACAAGAACCTGCATTCATTTCTCTTTTTCGCTTTTGCTCTTTCTTCCCTTTGGATTCTTTTCTTCCATTCCATCGCTCTGTTCACTTAATATAGGTAACCTACCTATACATACATACCTACATACTCAAGAAACTATTATTCCGAACCGCATTCTTCGGGATTTTATTATATCATTTCACTCTACACTATCTATCTGATTCTGATTCTGATTCTGATTCTCTTATCGCATCGGACCGGAACTATCGCATTGTTTACTTACGAACTCGCTATCTACACCGATATATCATCTATCATCTATCATCGCAATATCCTCAGCCGTCTTCACATCATTCACCGAGTAGAATTGAGATATCAAGGTATGTGTAAACAGAAACCAGAAAACTTTTCTTGGAGTTATTTTGGCATTATGACATGAGAGAATATAAATTAACGTCACATCCTAGATTTCTGTGTCTAAACTCACATTCACATTCACATTTCAACCTAAACTCATCCCATCCCATCTCATCTCACTCTCAACCACCTTTTCCCTCACCGCTCACCACAACCTCAGCCCCAAGTCCAACCCCCCAAGCCGTCAAAATGCAAGAAAACACCGTCATCGCCATAATCATCATCATCCTCTTTCTCATCCTAGCCCTCATCGCCTACGGTATCTACAGACTCGTTCAGCAAGCTCGCGGCGGCTCCTCGACGATCTCTGGTAGCTCGGGGAGTTCGGGGAGTTTGGCGGATGATTAGAGGGGATTTTAAGAGGAAGTTTGGATTGGGAGGGAAGAGAAGAGGGAAAGGATGGGATGGAGGGAAGAGGAAGAAAAAGAGAAGTGCGGAGGAGAAAGTTCCATCTCCATACTTCTTCGTTCTTTGAACCTCGCTGCGTAGGCTGTGAGAAACATTCATACATACCTATGTATGCATACATGTGCATGAAAATTACGAATGAACGAATAAATGAATGAGTCGAGTTGAGTTGAGCGCACGGAGCGAATATTGGATATGAGGGGCTTCCATACATACATCCATACTTATGTACGCACCGCACCTTCTCTACAGCTTTATTCAATGGAGAGAGATGTGGAGAGAAGAGATGGATGAATGGAATATGAAGAGTGATCACTCATTGCTCGATCAACAATGCGATGAAAATGGGGACTGGGAAAGAGTAATGTATCTGTATACTCGGAAACGGGATGGTATGGTACGGCATGGTACAGTGGGTGGTAATGACCCTCAAGATCAGGAAAAAAAGCGGAAAAAGCATGGCAAGTCGGCAGGTTGGCAGGAAGGGATGAACGATATGATATGTATATGATTTACGATACAATACGAGCGGCATGGGATGCAGATGTAGATGAAATGGAGACGGAAACGGAAACGGAAACGACTTTTTAGATTATGAAGGGAAGGGGAAGGGACTCGGTTGATCGCACGTGTATGTATATTCTAATGGCATACCTTGGAGTTTTTGGATTTGAGATTCGGCTTTGGATTTGGATTTGGATTTGGATTTGGATTGGATTGGATATACCACCACCACCACCATTATGAGTATCATTACCATTACCATTATCATGATTACTACAATTAAAAATAAAAATAAAAATAAAAATCAATTACCACATATACCATACACGTTATATACTCCATTTATTATCTACTTATGACACTTGTCAACGCGGTTCTGCTTTCCATTCCTCTTCATTTTGAATGAACAAAATGCCCAAAACAAGCAAATATCAATATTCATCATTATCAAAATCGATTCAGATCAAATAGGATGGATGGGTAGGTAGGTATGTAGGAGGTATATGCAATAACAATAAAATATGGTATCATTCTCGTTTTCGTTCTCATCCACATCCACATCCACATCTCCTTTCAATCAATCAACCAATCAATCTCATATGCCTTCTTCCCTCTTCCCCATTGCACTATCATCATCATCCTCTGTCTCTGCTTCATATCAAATAATCCCCATTCTAAATACAAATGTATTCCCCATTCCCATCCCCACCCATCCCCCAAGATTATCTTTCCCCAATCTTAAACCCACGTACCCAACCCACCAATACCTCTCACCTTCTCCCCTCATCCATTTATTTCATCATCCTCTGCCTCACCCAATTCTCTTCCCGCACTCTTATACCCATATCATATACCACATCATATCATATATTGCATTGCATGCAGCCAACCCAAAACCCAATTGAATTCCAACCCATAAAAATCCATTTATCCATCCGTCCATCCCTTCCCAAAACCCCTTCGAAAAAATCCCAAAATCCATGCCCAAAACATATGCAATGCAATACAATGCTAATTCCATTTACCCATCAAAAGATGAATATGATATGAATACGAATCTGAATGTATGAATATACTTGAACCCCGATAAGAAAACCCCCCCATGAATCCTTCACAAGCGAAGCACTGCTCCACTTATGATCTTCTTCTCATCTCATCAATCCATCTTCCCGAAAGGGAGTAGATAAGATCCAGTGCAAATGCATATTTCAGATTCCCAATCCCACTTGTAATCCAATAAAATTCCCATTATCTCCCAGACCCTTTGTCTCAAAAACGAATTGAAAAGACTAGCGCCAATTTTTGCCTTGACCCCTTATGCATGAATGCAAACAAACAAAGCAACGAAAAGAAGCCGTGGAGAAGGAAGGAGGGTATTAAGTTGGTAATATATATGGAGACGGGAAGGTATCGTATGTACCGTATCGACTGAGAGTGGTGTTATCGTAATAAGGAAGAAGAACAAGTTGGTGTAGAATAATATATAAGTAGAATCTAGATGCAAGGAAGGAACTATGATTCATTAGCTTTCATCTCATAAATATTTTCCAATTCCGTCCGATCCACCCCCCTTTCAAAAAGAAAGTACTTACATTCATAACAATTAGCATAGGGATATCAAAGACATCCCTCTTAATTGTCCAACAAGAACTACAATCCACCTTTCCATCCTGTTGTAACGTCTCAATTCCATTATTCGCATCAATCTCCTTGATCCTATTACCCATTCCACCAATTCCAGCCCCATTAAATCCGACAATATCCTTCCGCTTTCCCTTATCACCTTCAGGCGATTGAGAGGTATCTTTTGCCGTTTGATATCTAAGAAGCTTATAACGAGTCGTAACACTTCCTCTACTATCTCCAAATGCCAATCGTGCAAAATCTTCATAGAATTCAATGACGCTATCATCGTCTAACAATTCCGCGAGGAAGATTGGTTGAGCTTTACCGCTCGGGTTCGAGTCGGCAAGGTTGAGGGGTCGCATTCTAGGAGTTGTGAAACTTCCCCGACCTGAACTTCCTGATGATGGAGGACCACTACTTCCTGTATTAATATTAAGATTTACTTCATTTCCTAAAAGGACTTCTTTCCTCCATCCAGTCAAAAGTGTGAATTCTTTATTAGCAGCGGCAATTTCTCCAGTCCTGCGACAGACCACTGTTGGCGTGCAGCAGTTCAGCATGAAATCTTCGTACTCAAATAAAGTCCTTTGAAAACATTTCTCCATGAATATTAAATCTTGTCGATTGAGGGTTTTTGTACAAGAGATAAAGGATGGTCTAATGGAAGCGAGTGATTTCGCTATCCGAAGTGTCTTATTTGGCGAGAATCGCTTTTGAATGAAAGCAGTCAAGCTATGAAAACCGGTAGTATATGAATAAGGTTCATGGACTGTATCGTAGATGGATGAAGGATCCCGATTCCTCTTTCCTAGTATACCCGATGGCCCAAGCTTGCCAGATGGGCCTGATTTCGTATCTTGTCGTTTTGCTGGCCTATGAGCTGCCGGTGCTGGATAATTAGTAGTTGTCGGTGAGCTCTCAAATCCCATTGTACTTGCCGCAGGACTTGCATCAGTGCTAGGACTGTGTTGACTACCACCAGTGGCAATCGCGTACGCATGAGGTAAACCATGATGTAGGTTATTATTGCCAAAGACATTTCCTCCATTGGATCTGTCCAAACCTACAGCAAAATCCGGTAATGTGTCGTGAGGGTAGATTTGATTAAAGGGCGGATTATTAGTGAAAGCCGAATTGTTATTGAAGCCAAGATCGCCAACACTTTGTGGCATTCCTGCATTTGAATCTTGTGGTGGTGTTTCTGCTGAGCCTGATGCCATATGCCCTAGCATTCCAAATTCTAATGCTCCATAATGATTTCCGAAATTTAAACCTTCTAAATCAAAGTTGAATAGTGCTGGATTACTGGGATCGAAAAATGCACCACCCCCAAATGCGGAATGCGAATCGTTTGAAACTTGCGGTAGAGAAATTCCTTGCAGTCCAGCTGGACGATTACCTGCTGTATGGAAAGTTGGAGATATCGGTGATGGCTGATTGCTCCCAAAAGAAAGCCGATTCTGCAATGGCGGTGGCATTTGACCTTGTTGATTGGCTCCAAAAAGTGGATAAGATGGTGAAGTATCAGGCTGGGAGAAAAAGTTTCCCATAGGAGAAGGTTCCGTTGGTGTTGATGCGGCAGTAGCTCGATTATTGCTCACTTGTTGATTATAAGTTGGTCCCAAAACAGGTCTAAGAGCTTCTGGGGGTGCATCGTGAAGATACTTTGCTTTCTTTCTGACACCATCCTGGCAAGCATCCGCTAAACCCCGTTTTATACAACGTTGACATGGACGCTCGTCCCCTGTTGAATTCATTCTCAGCACATGTAGCAAATTTCATTGAAAATTTAGATAAAAATAACGAACAAAACAACGAATTGTAAGGCTCTTGGCACAAAACGGAGCCCAACAATGAATCCTTGATAAAAACAAACATACCACAAGTTAAATGGGCTCGTTGACAAGCAAAACAAGCTCTTCTTGCCTTCTTTCTTCTAGGTCTCAAGGGATCTTTAGGATCGAATTTTGGTTTTGTAACTGTAGCCGTTGCTCCTACAGTATTTCCATTCTCCTCACCGTCCGGTCTTACTTTTTGTTCCGCCATTTCTTGATTATCGTCCTCTTTTCCTACAACATCAAGCTCTTGCTCATGATCACTATAATCGTTCTCCGAAGCGCCATCCGAAACCTCAGGATCATCTATTTCAGTTTCTCCCGACATCCTGTCTTAAATACCTCACTTGGTACTTGTGCAGAAGCTAGTTCGTTTCTGCGACACCACACTCCAATCGATAGAAGCCCCAGTCAACCTCCCTCGCCAATCCTTGAACAGGAGCCCTGGTGCTGCAGCCTCGTCACACAACCAAGGCAACACAGGATGGTGCCGTGAACCGCCCGCCCAGCAACAATGCACAATGACCTTGTTTCCTCACTTCCACACTTCCAGCGCACACTTCTACCACCTTCTTGCGTCTGTGAGCAATCTTAATGCTACAAAGGGTAACCCTGGCGATACTCCGAAATAACTTCTTGCCGCAAAGTAAGTACCCGCGTCTTTTTCAATCCCTTACCACGTTTCGCCGCGTGCCTATCCGGACACCAACACGCGTTCGCATGCACCGCTATTTGACCGGCCTTAAATCCTCTCTTTCCGTAATTCCTTCCCAGAAACCAGGTAGGTTTGCCCGACTCGGCCGCTCCGTATTTTCTCGTAATCTCCTTGGATCCAAAATCTCACCCTTTGGTCTTTTCTCTTTTCGACAATGTTGCTTTCGATTCTTTTCGATTCTTGTTTTTTGCTTGCAGCCAATCCAAAACCTAGTCTCTTCGTAAAGCACTACATCCACACATGTATAGTCACGCGGAGGAGCTACTCCTTCGACCAAGCCTCCTCTCTCGTGCTGGAGAGAATGCGCAAACGTAATAATCGAATGCTGTGTTACTGTATGGTGCTGCAAGTATCCGCGAGCTAGTCCCACCGCAATCGCATTGATGCCCAAATAAAATGCCTTCCACTACCGATGCAATTGAAATATCCTTCCCCTTTTTGCGTATCACTTCAAAATCGATATATTGGAAATGGATATTCGCCGTCCTTTGTTTTCTCGAGCGGTCAGGGTATTTAGGATTTCTTTCCTTTTCAATGGGCACCTATATAACTATTTTCTCTTTCTCTTCTTTGGATCTTTCGCCTCGTATGGAAGAGATTGCAAATTGTTGCAGATCAGGACGGCGGGGGTTCGATGGATTGCGAATTGGAATTGCACTTATCTTCTGTGCAATGGCGGATGAAAGGATCTGGGAAGAAGTGGTGGTGGGTAAATGGGTGTGAGTGGGTGAGTTTGAGTGGAGAGAAACGGGTAAGCTGAGAGAGAGAGAGAGAGTAGGATATCAATTGGTTTCCCCAGAGTTGGATTTTTGAAATTTGAAACTTGACTCTTTGATTGATTGATTGATTGATTGATTGATTGAACAAACAAATTACCTTTCCCAATGGTAAATCAATAGAAGATCTTTGTACTCAATTGAACGATATAGAGTATCACCAAAAGTCATTCCTTTCAAACTTAAACGCCGCGTGGCAGGAACGAGGTTTGTTGTTGCGACCGTCTTGTATTGTGATGTTGCGCGGGGAAAATTTTAGTGATGTTCAACAGATTAAGCAAAAGAAAGAAATCGAAGTGGAGAGTGGAGAGTGGAGTGAAGAGTGGATTGATAATCGGTAAAATGATGTCTGAAATGAGTGAATTATGATAAATTATGATTAAATTTAATTATAAAGCCACAATTCACACAGCCACATTTGGAACACTTAATATATCCAAATTGG